AGCAATAAAATTGGTATGGTATTGGCATGGCATGTAAATTTTTGAGGATTTAGGCATGCCTAACTTTTCAATGTCAAATGATGGAATTTTTATATTATATATTGATTCGGTTAAGTTTAAAAAATTAAATTCAATTTGTCCTCCCTTGTAATAAATTATATCATACTTTTTATATAAATTAAATAAAATTTCATATACTTTACTATGACATTCCCGATATCCAAAATTATGTTTTTAATAAGATAAATACAGCCGTGTAAGAAATTTCCAAATGTAACAGATTTTTTATCTCGTGGTGATAAATTATCAAAAGTAATAAATTGATTGTAAAAATCTATCTTCCCAAAATCGTTTTTATGTCTTGCTGCTAACCCAATTTGTCTACATAATGTGTTGAATGGAAGATTTTCATCTTGAATCGTGAAAGCTTCAAAGTCAATGATAACTCCTATATCAGAAACTATATTATAATACACAGTATTAATTTTAATAAAATATAACTTTAACACTTACCATTTGAGTATCTTTGAGTGTTGAAAATCTAATTTATATTAAAACATATCAATTAAATAGAGACATATAAAAAAAACTATATATTGTAAATTTTTTAAAAAATATATCAATCAAGTATAGATATAAAAGAAAACATACTTACAACTCATCTTGTCACAACTTATTAAATGCCTAAGCTTGCGAATGATCATTGATTCTACTGGGTGTATTTATACTTAAATTTAACAGAAATCTATAAAAAAATATAATTTTTAAAATTTATATTGTAATTGAATTGAAACGAAACCTGTTTTTTTTAAAATTAGTTACTAAAATGAAATAAAAGTAAAAGATTATAAAGTATAAGAATTTAACTCGAATTGTACAGTAGCAATAATAATAATAATAATAATAATAATATTAAAATAGTGCCTTTTTTCAAATCAAATTTATACTGTCTGATCAAATAAACTCATTAAACTTTGAATTACTATATGGTTTATACTAAAAACATAATTTCTTTGAAATAATATTTATTTAAGTGATAAACTCTAATTAAAGATATTAAATTTATGAAATGAAACTCTGATTATATATCGACAAACTTTAAGAAAAAATTTTACAACAATAAGGTAATTTATTTTAAAAACAACTTAATTAAATAAGTTAACTAAAAACATAATAAAATTGTAACACTATCTGTATTAGTTAGGCCTATATATTAAAGTATGTACAATTAGATTAGTTTTATATATATTTTAATTAATTGCTATACGTTTAAATTTATATTAACGAGTATTTATTTAAATATAATTAAGAAAGTTTAAAGAATATTAAACTTTAAGAAAACGAACTCCCGATTGTAATTCCTTAATACTGTATTTTGTTTTTCATATGATAGATATATACCTTACAAAATAATTGCCAAATTCTTATGTCTAACTGTTAATTTTTTAAAAATAGATTCATTATAAAAATGAATTTTGCTGAATTTTTCCTTTCAGTTTGCTGACTTTAAATTATTCATATTTCAGAAATAAGTTATATAGTACCTTGTAAATCCTATCACTTTGCACCTACTCCCTAAAATTTTGTTTCTCATATGATACATATATATTAGAATAATAAGTCAATGAACTTGTAAATTTTTCGAAGATTTAAGCTTCATTCATATCTACAGGCACGTAGCGTGGCCGGCACGTAACGTNTGAACTTGGTGTAAACAGGTAAGATCAGCTATAGTCTGATAATCTTTATCTTTGCTATCGTTACTTTTTGTTAGAGCAACGCAGCTAGTTACATATATTTCAGAACAATTTGTCTTATATATAAATAAATTGTTAGTAATAAACTCAAATATTATTAAAAATATTACACTTATTAATTAAATTTAGTAAGTTATATTGTGATATATAAAACTGTAAGGTATTAAACATTAAAAAAAATTAAATGTCAGTTTTCTTTTTTCTTATAGGTTTATAACACCCTGTTTAAGCCCTATAATTATAACCCATTAACTTTTTAACTTTCGTGCCTAACAAAACATGCAAAAAACCAACACTAATTATAAATTTTGTTTACTTTTAACTCCAGTATGTTGCATGATAATACATCAAAGTCATAGTTTTATTAAAGCAACTATCCTTTGTAAATATTCGTGCAGTTTATTGCAATATATGAAACTTGACACAACAACAATAAAAATATATGATGTGAAATATTGTTTCATTCAGACGGCTTTGGTCATGCATAATAGAATATTTCAACTCGTTTTCTTTACATCATTTTTTTGTTTCATTACAGTACAAGGTAAAGATGTATACAATTTTAAATACGAAATATTTTTATATTTTCATTTTCTTAGGAGGTACTTACATAAAAATGTTATTGAATACTTTTTACTGTTATTTCTTTTTTAATTTAAATGCAGCCATATTTTGTATTTTATAAGAAAACCAAAAAATCCTAATTTATAGCGTAAGATAGATTATAATTTTTCATTTAATAGTTACTTTATGTTGCTGATTAATATGAAATGAAATTTTTTATTATTTTGATCTTAGCCTAGCTATTAAATTCAAAGTAATAAATCTATATATAAATAGGTCTGTTGATGTATATTTCTATAATATTTTAGAATCTGTCAAATTTTTCGCTGCAGTAGTGTATTGAAAAAAACAATTTGAGTATCATTTCCNCAGAAAAGGCTAACAGAACTCTTATCGAGTGTACTACAGCGTTACTGATAGAAGCAGAACTGCCAAAAAACTTCTGGGCTGAGGCAATGAACTGCTTCACTTATGTACGTAACCGGACACCCACCCAGAATGACATGAAAAGGACCCCCGAGGAATTGTTCTCCGGAAGAAAACCCACTATACGACATCTAAAAGTATTCGGCTGTAAGGCATATTATTGGATCCCCAAAATGAGGCGAAATAAACTTGACTCGAAGGCGGAACTAGGAATCTTTGTGGAATACTCATCCTGTAGAAAAGCGTACCGAATATTCGACCCTACCACTATGACTGTAATCGAGTCACGTGATGTAAAATTCCTAGAAAACCAAAGGGGCAAAGACTTCCAAAATCAAGCAAATCCAACGCAGGACTATACCCTAGTCGATATAGAGAGAGAGTACACTGATTCCACTCCCACAGCTCAGGATATAGAGGATACAGAAGTCACAAATTCCGATAACGAAATCGAGACAGACTACGACCTAAATGAACCTACAGAGGAAAATCTCTCTCCAATAGAAGAAAAAAGACCCAGACTACCTCTAAATTTCTATTACGAACCACCTCTATATGGCTTCAATGTCGAAGAAGACGTACCGGAAGTACACAAACGATCCAACATATCGACCGTACAACAGAGTCCTGATATCAGAGAGCAAACTCATAATCCCAAACAGCTATGAGGAAGCGTTGAACCTACTGGACAAGGACAAATGGATTGAAGCCATGCAAAAGGAGATGCAATCGTTAAAGGCTCATAATGTATGGGAAACTGTAACCCTTCCAGAGGGAATAAAACCCATAAAATGCAAGTGGGTATACAACCTTAAACACGACCCCGTGACCTCATGCACAAAATACAAGGCCAGACTGGTAGTCACAGGTTGCTCCCAAAAATACGGGATAGACTTCCACAAAACTGTCATAAAAGCCGACAGCCCAAGAGGACTTTTAATATACGCTGCTATACACAACTATGACGTCAACCACCTAGACATAGAAACGGCATATCTGTACGGAAGGCTAAACGAAACAATATATATGGAACAACCCAAGGGATACGTAGAAAATACGAAAAACCAAAGGCAAGTATGCAAGTTGAATCAAGCTATATATGGATTAAAGCAGAGTGGCCGAATCTGGTATCAAACACTTAACAAATACCTAATAGAGATCGGCACAAAGAACTTCCAATCTGACAAGTGTGTGTACATCTATAAACGAGGAACTAGAAAAGTTATCTTAGGAATCCACGTAGATGATATAATAACTATATCTACTGACAGGAAGATCTTAGAGGAGCTACTAAAAAAACTTCGAAGAAAATTCAAGGTCAGACACGAAGAATATTTTAGGCATGGAAATAATAAAAGGAAAGGCAGAGATATTGATCAAACAACGAAATTACGTTAAATACATATTAGAGAAGTACTATACACAATGCAAGACTGTAAGCCGAGAAGTACCCCGCTTGATCCCGACGTTAAACTAGAAAAATATAACGACTCAAAACCGTGCGATCAGAAGTTATATCAGGAAATGCTAGGCTCGTTGATGTTCCTGGCAACGCGCACAAGACCCGATATAGCGTGTGCAGTAACCCTGCTCTCCAAATATACCAAAGAACCCTAGAATTATTCACCTGACTGCATTAAAGGGCATACTCTGATATCTGAAGGGAACACAATCGACAGGACTGCGCTACACACCAGACAGACTAGATGTCAGGGGCCTTTCTGACGCCAGCTGGAGAACCCGTCCAGAAAAAAGTATAACAGGATACGTTCACTCAATAGGAAAGAACATATTAAGTTGGACCTCGAAGCAACAACCCATCACCCCTCTCTCAACTTGCGACGCAGAACTATTCGCCCTAGGAAGCTGTGCTAAAAAAGGGATTTGGATAAAATTCTTTCTAGAAGAACTGTTTGGAAAACTCGAAAAACAATCCAACTTCTATACGACAACCAATCTGCGATTTCCATAGCGAAATCAGGCTACACGAGTAACAACTCGAATCATTTAATCAGACTGGCATCATATCTAAGTCAACAGATGGAAGAAGGAACATTTCAACTTAAATATATAAAAACCGAAGAAAACGTAGCCGACGCCTTTACAAAACCGTTAATGTGGAAAATGTGTAGACAAGGTAACTCAATAATTTGATTAGTTAGTTAATTGTTTAGCAGGGTCTCTCTCTTTTTTGCTTCTTTTTCTTGCATTTCTATCACCATTTTTCCCCTTTTATAAATTATTCTTTCTTTTCCTTTCTTCGTTTTTCTTTCTACATTATCTCTCTATATATATGTATAAACACATATGTATGCATCTATATATATACATATATAATCGAAATGGATTGATAATAATTGTAATAAGCGCAGAGCCCAAACGGTTAGGAGTTAAAAAGTGAAATTTGGTACACAGTTAGGGTACATCATAGGAATACACATTAACAAATAATTTTTGTACATTTTCGTAAGAAATCTTGTACACCTTGTTTTCTTTTTTCTTAATGTTAGCTTTGTCATTCCTTAAAATTGTATATAGGTTCGGAGTTCTTTTCAGAACCATTCTTGACTCTTTGCGGTCTGCAATCTCTTTCGTAATGCCTTTCGTATTCCTATTGTATATAAACTTTGTGACTTTGCTGGGATCATGTTTTAAAGCCGTTGCTGTACTCATCTCGTATCTTCTAATCATTCCTGTTATTGTGCCTTTTTTGTATCCTAGGGCTTCGGCTACTTGTACAGTACAATTCTGTTATACAGTACAATTATACAGTACAATGTCGTTGACGAACAATAAGAAAAATCTTTAATTATCAAATATAACTAATTATTTTGCTCTTTGTTAACTCAGTAGAGAATTAACTGACGTCAACACTACAATAGAATTGCCTGCAATTAAGTAATTTTTTCACATGGACTGTAAAAGACTTTAATTTACCAATCAGTTGAACACTTTATAATATACAGGTTGGTTGCGTGATGTAGCATGAAATGAATAAATGAATAAGAAATATAATCGGATAGACCGTTTCGTATAAAATGAGGTTAGTTATTGGTTTGCTTATTCAGGTATTTTAAAGCCGGTTTATAGGCAACGTGCCCATTAGTACTAAAAAATCGAATGTTGAAAAATATTTTCTCATAATGTTAATGTGTTTATATCTACTAGTTGATGAGATTTAAATAATCTTTTTCCATAATTTCACTTTTAATGTGATCACTTTACGTCATGATTTACTAGAATAATAAGGTAAATAATGACATGATGTTAATGTTCAATACGTTCTTATTGGACAAAAAAACGATACTTGTTCAATGTAATAAAATCAATAAATTAAAGTCACGGATTATAAAATTTCTTCAGTAACTTTATTTACAATTCTCTTTTCATTGTGTAACACGTAGATGAGTCCTTGTTTCTTTATTATGCAACACCTGAGCAATTGGCCAAGATATCATTGCAGATTTTCCAAAGGTTAAGTTCTTTATTTCAGCAATTTAATCACATTATATTTTTATCGGAAACAAATTCTTAAATCTTTAGTTAAAGGTTGCTGTTATCAATATAATTCCGGGTAATGGTGAGTTTCTGCACTGTAAAACAGATTTAATTTATAAACCGTTTTACATTAATTAATTACCTCGTTGCTCCTTCAAAATCCATGGCTATGAGCAATTCTTTGTCATTTCTTTCTGTACTTTACTTTCTCGATCCAGTCAATATCTGATTTGCTGCTGTTAAAAAGCATATATACAAAATACTCAAGCAAGCAAAATATCGAAAATAATTTTAAAACATCTGGAATATTTTAAATCATCAAAGCAAATTCAAGAAATACTTTTTTTCCTTAATATTTTCTATTTACAATAATTGAGTAAATCAGGAAATTACATGTACTCTACATTAAAATTCGTGTTTTTCATTACAATACATTTATCAATTGTAACATCTACATGCAAGAACAAAGCACGGATGTTCTGCTTTCATAACATGCTCTTGTGCATGGCGAAATTGTCGAGATTATTATGGGAATAACAAATAACGCATGAAACATTGTTTGCAGTACAATTATGAAAACGATTTTAACGAAAGTGGTGCATACAAATATATTGTGAAATGCGATAGTTAATAATACTAATCCAGTAGAAATTGCCCCTTGAATTAACGGAAAACCTACGTGACATAAACTATCCTTTAACTTTCCTTTAGTCGTTGCTTGTGATGAAGTAATGAAACAATAGCATATGTGAGTGGGATAATTGACGCAAAACCCGATGCAGAGAATCAGGCACATCAAAGACACGATGTCCAGATTAATTGCCCATATAGACATGAATCCGATCGTCTGCACGGTGATGGACCCGACACAGATAGCAACAATAAGAGCGCAATGCAAACTGGGAATTAACGAAACAAAAATGACAAAAATTAACAAAGAAGTAATCCAGAACAATTGAAACGTTATCTGTCTGATAACGATTCCTTGCTCGGTAACAGGTGTTATCAATGTATGGATTACAACGGAAAATGGCGCTTCTTCGGCTATTTTCGATAAATCGTTCGCTATTTTGAATTCGGTTACTCTATTCGAAACATTTTTCGCTGAGAATAAGAAACGACTGGCCACAATATCAGTGTAATTGTCATTATAAATGATGTCGTTTTTAAATTGCTTGGCTCCTATGAATTTCAAGAAGACGTTTCTGAGAGCATCCATAAAATCCTGCTTTTGAGACAGATCGTAACCCCTCAAGGAGTATTTCGATATGGGATGAGTTTGAAATTCCTTATAATATTTTAACCAAGAAAATTCGTATTCTTGTCCGGCTATATTTTCAATAGTATGAAATTTCTGCATAAAATTTTCAACTGACTCTTGAACTCGTGGATTAGAATAATCTAAAGTTTCGTTAATTACGACGTGCACTATAAAAGGGTATTCTGTAAAATATTTATAGAAAACATAAAATCCCTGTGTAATTTCAGAGGTTTCTGAATTGAATTTGTAAACATTCAGCCCTTCCTGTAAGGACATAACACCCCATATACTAATTGACAATAATATAAAATACAATAAAATAATAAGAACCCGTGGTACAGGATGAAAAATAAAAGCCGAAAATGTATATCTGAAGAACTTCATAAAACAGTTTTCATTTTCTTCCGGGTATAAGTCAATTTGTCCAATAGTTTCTGTAAAAGTAAATGATTTTATAGATGAATTAAGGGCATTTGTACATTTGTAGGATATTTGACAATAATAAAGAATTCTTATGATACGTAATATTATTTAAACTATAATAAGAAAAAATAATAATTTTATGAACAAATTAACACTAAGATAACTTATGTACTTATATAAATCACTTACTATATAATAAGATAATATAGTAAATATTTAAAATGAAAACCATATAAAGAGTGTGGTTATTTTAGTCTGCTATTGTCACGTTTATCTACTTGACCATTGAATACGCGATAATAGCCTGCTATTGTCGCATATTCAATGGTCAAGTAGACAGAAATCGAAAATATATTTTAAATTTACCAAATGTCAAAATATTTTCTAAGAAACTGTACCATTCACAGCCGAATATCAAACAGTGATCTGCCAACGAATGAAATTTCGGAAAAAACATACCAAATATTTAAACACTTTGTATGACTTAAAGGACCAGATTACCTATGTTAGGGGCTAGCAGGAGATATAGAGTCGGGTATATTCGTATACCACTTAATCGGCTGTCTAGTCGAGAAAACTAGCCCTCTGCGTCAAAGGATGGCTTCTTAAGATTTTAATGAGAAACGGGATTCCGCAAGGCTCCCCTGTGAGTTGTTTTTCCTGACACCAGCCTAGTTATAGCTTTAGGCATGCTAATATTCGTTCGCGAGGAATTTCGAGTAGGAGGGTCGCGAGTAAGTGGAAAGGCTGTTTGCTCGGATTCGAGTCAAGAATGAGACCATGTTAGAACAATAACAGGAACTGAATACAAAAATTAAGAGATCTCTAATATCTTATAACTATTCTAATCACGAGAAAGAGAGCTTACATGTACATTAAACTATACTACCTCTAATTATGTAATATTCGTAGTTGTGGTCTTCTATGAGGATGATGTAGACAAATGAATCAATCTTCTGTGGGCTCATTATACATTATGGTTTATATCTTCTATATGGCGCCTTCAAATACTGTGAGGACTGCCTAGTTATTACGGCAATTTCTGTCTTCTAAGAATTGCGCTTATGTGAATCAATTTCTTTGAGCGGAAGTTCCCATCCCAGGGAGTATGGCACACAAATTCATAATAATAGGATACTGGACGATATGCTGTGCACGGAGTTTGGGGCGTAACTTGTATTTATAATATTTTTCTCTTCTAATAAAAATTAAGAATTAAGATCATCTGACTGGGTATCATGATGAGTCTTTTGGGTTTAGTCTGCTCTTTAGCCATGGGAGATTGTTCTCTCTCAGGAACTGACTGTCAACAGAGGAAACATTTGTTCCTTGTTCTCTTTGATGTGTAACTTTGATAAAAATTTAGAATTATTATATTTAATTTTAAAAGATTTTCTATTGATTTTCTAAAATATTTTATCTAAAAAAATTCAGAATCTCACATCTATATATATGACCTTTATATTTGTACAAAAAAATTACGTTATTTCAATACAAAAATTTTGTCGCGAACAAAGATAGATACATAACCAGCACGACTACCAGGTAAAGTATGATGTACTGTACGGGGAGCAAAACACTACTACAGTCCATGCAACCGGATGCTGTCTCAAAAATAGTGTAATGGAGCATCTATTTCGCGCTATATCATTCTCGCAGTAACTCAGTGGGTATAATAAATTATTTTAAAATTATACTTTGTTTTTGTAAGAATTATATTTAGTTAATTATTTTGACAATTTTTTTTTCCAAAAGATAAGGCTACGTGTAAACTAGCAAATCAAATGGAGACAGAAATCTAATAGATATTAATAAATAATTATTTAAGTTAGCGGTAAACTGCCGAGTTTCGTAGAAATGGGAGAACGGCCTAGCAATGTATAGCGAACAAACACATGTGTATATACATAGATACAGTAGAAAATGAGCCCAGCGTAGTTCGGGCAGACGATTTAAATGGTGTGGTAAATATTCCATGTTTGAAAATTAAGTTATTATCAAAAACAAATAGTCGCATCTAAAATAGTATAGTACAGTAGATCCCCTATAACGCTTAGATACGTTCCACGTTATTCGAATTTTACGTTGTAGGAATCATTAAATACATGAGCCAATCGCAGCCCGACGCGTGTGAAGCTTACGGACTAAAACTGTTTGAAAGGTTTTCTTCTATAAAATTAACCGATTCTAGACTAATTCCACTCAACATTTCCAAAATACGTATAATTTTTTGGGAATAATCCGTATAAACTACGCTATAAACAAAAAATTGTAGGATTACTTACCGAGTGTGTACCGTTCGACTACGCCGTTGCTCAAGCTTGTTTTCGTCGCGGAACAGCGCACGAAACGGCGGCCGCGATTTCTGATAACGAATTTTTCGCAGAAAAATAACTTGACCTTTGGAGACATCATTAATATAAATAATTTTTATCGCCGTTGAATAAGAAATGTTTCTTTCACAAGAAATGTATAAAATTACAGTACTGTATTAGACTTACGGTACCTAATTTACATACTGACAGACGATAGTTAGCGTAAAAATCTCCGTAGCGTGGCGCCACGCTAGACGGCGGAAATTATATATTTAATTAAAGTAAAGTTACAATAAGTTAATATATAATTATATATACAGTACCTAATTTATATATAATTAATATATAATTATATGTACAGTACCTAATTTATATATAATTTATATATAATACTGTACAGAGGATAGCAAACTCAATTTAGCCTCCTAAACTCTCTGTAGCGTGGCGCTCGGCGCGGAAAGTAGTTCGGCTGCTCGTCCACTATTGGTCCAGATTCGACCAATCTTGTCGCCGACTCCTTGTCGCGACAGGAGTCGGCGACAACGTTTTACGAGTCACTTTATACGAATACTGCTACAATTTTTTCGCTACGTTATAGGAATTTCCGTTATAGGAACCCACGTTATAGGGGGGGTCGACTGTATAAACTTGTTTTCAGATTAAGGGTTACCTTTCTCTTTTCTTTGCAGTAGAGAATTTCGAAAAATGTCTTTTCAGTGTGCATTTTTATGATGTACCCTAACTGTGTACCAAATTTAACCTCTTTCAGTTCAGCGGTTAGGTCTGGGCGATAAAAAATAAACCACTCAGTCAGTGATGACATGTAATTTTATATATATATCTAGATAACAGCGCCGGTTAAGTAAATATATTATAATGTGTATGTAATGTAATGTGTAAATGTATTATAAAATTAAATTGTTTTTTGTTTGTTGTCATGCATACTCAAAAATATAACTTTGAAACTCAAATTAGTTTCACTTCTTACATTTCCACATTAAAAATATATATATAACATAAATTATAAAACTATTTCTATAATTTTTCATCAGCAAAAAGTCTCATTGAATAAAGACATATTAACAGCCGATCAATAATATTTCAAGTAAAATGCCCTTCAATAAAAATAGAATTGTGTAGCACACTTCAGTTTAACTATAAACTATTATCAGAACAAATATAAAAACAATTGCAAGTTAAATTATTTTAAAATTTTTACCAAAAGCTGGTTTAAACGTAAAAGGATGAAGATCCTTCTCTTCCCTGTATCCACTCGATGCCAAACATTCGCCGAAAAATAATAACTGAAAGAAATAACTGAAGAAGATGCATGTTGCAGCATACAAACAGAATATTCTTACACCCGGGAATGGTGACGTCATGCCGATGCAATAGGAAAAGAAATTCGTTAGAGACGTTATGGTGATGGACACGGCTGCGTTGCGATACGTCTGTTCCATTCGGTTTTCTACTCTGTCATTACAATCTGTTACCTTCCAACAAGCCAATACGACAAACGAGTCGTCCACTTCAGTAGCTTTAATATATGAAAACAATATATAAATTAGTAAAGCAAAATATATTAGTATTTGCAAATATTTTATCTTACCAAGAATAATGAAAGGTAAGCCGACATTCCACTGAAGGTTTTCTACTCCACAAGCGGATAATAATCCAAAAGCGGTGGCCACAGCCAGACCTGCGGATACAACACTACATACGCCTAACCAGGGTTTTGACTTCACCCAATTGTTAGACATGTTCGTCAACATGGAGAAAATGGCCACTACGACCACCGCCACGCTTATCAACGACACTAATTTCTGTGAAATACGTTTTACTTGAGAAGCGGTAGAAGAGAATGGTTCTGGAAATGTTTTAATATGCTCGAAGCTGTAATCCTTCAACTTCTTGTAAACTGAATTTGTCCATTCTTCATTCCACTTTTTCTTATTTGCATTCGATTCGTCTAGTACATATAATAAACGAACGGCTTTTGCTTGTTTTACATATCCTTTATCGTCTGTCGTCACACCCCCTAAATTCACACAGAAAATTTTGTACGCGTATGTAACAGGATCCATATTAATGGGATACTTCATTTTTAGTATTTCATTAACAGCATTTTCGGACTTGTTTAGCATATCAATAAGAGTATTTTCTAAACACTTGCCTTCTACAGTCTGGCACACGTCCGAATAAACAATATTCTTTCCATCTACATAAGCTGCAGTGTTTTTTACAATCTTATCTACAGTTCGTATTTCCTCTAAGAATTCTTTGCGTAAAATGTTGCCTTTTCTGTCATTTACTATGTAGATTATGGGGAAAAGTGGGCGCTTAGTAATTCTTAAAAAATCGAAATTATTCGATTTGATAGGGAATGTCTTATCTATAAATTGTTTGGCATCAAAAACTTTACCTCTATCCGCACTTAAGAGAAAATCGATGTCGTCATTGGTTTGAATTGTGATTAGCCCGATTGATAATAAACCGGAGACAATGACAGGAACAATGACAAAATAAAGGGGATATCGGCTGATTATTACCCCAAGTCGACCAATTATACTAGATACGGTGTTTGTTAGAAACAAACATTTCGCTTTCTTCGAAGTGTCATTTCTTTTTACCTAAAACAATTCAGTATAAATTATTTTAGCATACGCATTTTAGATATTCAGTACAGTAGATCCCCCTATAAGACGGTAGATACGTTCCGTTCTTTATGAATCAATTTTGTAGGAATCATCGTTTATGGGCTACGGCTGTTTGAAAGGTTTTCTTTCATAAAATTAATCGATTCTAGACTAATTCGACTCAACATTTCCAAAATACGTATATTTTTTTAAAAATAATCCGTATAAACTATGCTATAAACAAAAAATTGTAGGATTACTTACCGAGTGTGTACCCTTTGACTACGCTCGTTGCTAAAGCTTGGTTTCGTCGCGGAACAGCGCATCAAATTGCGGCCGCGATTTCTGATATTATTTTTCTGCGAAAACTTCGTTGACCTTTGGAGACATCATTAATATAAATAATTTTTATGGCCGTTAAATAAGAAATGTTTCTTTCACAAGAAATGTATAAAATTACAGTACTAAACAGACGATAGGTCGCCTAACTCGCCGTAGCGTGACGCTAGACGGCGAAAAATATATATTTAATTATAATAAAGTTACAATAAATTAAGTTAATATATAATTATATATACAGTACCTAATTTATATATAATTAATATATAATTATATGTACAGTACCTAATTTATATATAATTTATATAATACTGTCCAGACGATAGAAATCTCTCCGTAGCGTGGCGCTACGGACGGCGGGTAAGTAGTTCGGCTGCCCGATGACGTTTTACGTATTATAGGAGTTATTTTTACCGTTGTTTACGGATAATGCCACAATTTTTATAGGAATCATAACTATAGGAAACGGTTTTATAGGGGGATCTACTGTACTGCCACAATTTTTATAGGAATCATAACTATAGGAAACGGTTTTATAGGGGGATCTACTGTATAGTGGAGATATTATTACCTGTTTATTCATTGTTATCTTGAATTAAGAAAATCCTGAATTATATATGACGATTGATTGTATCAGATTAAATGAACTTCCTTTCACCTTCAGAAATATTTTATTAAAGTATTAAAAGTTCGGAGTAGAAAATCGGTGCTGTTGTGAACTGTAATTGTTCGGTGTGACGTCATATCGTCTCTCTGTTGTACGTCTCATTGGTTGATTTCTTTTGAAACTAGCCAATTGAAGCTAGGGTTTGTTAAATAATTTTTGTTATTTTATCTGTCAAAAACGTTTTCATTGGGCATTGCACATTTATATTAAAATAAAATTTACTAAAATATTATCTGGTAGAAGGCTATGTTTTCACCGTATGACGTAGAAACGTAGGAATTTGTAACTAAGAAACTGCTAAGAACCGTATATGGGCCGTAAGTTGCCACGAGATTCTGTACCCTAATACTTTGGCCATTGGTTCGCGCCTTTCCAGGATAGTCTCTTTAAAGCAATTTTCCGGATTTTATCCATGTCTATAATACCCGAATATGGGCTATTTACCCTTAATAGACCCATGGCCGTGCCGTGCTATGATGCAGAGATGCGGTCGCATCAGGCTGAACAGCCCTGATAATAAATATTAATAAACAAATTGGTTGTCATTTTTACTGTCCGGAGTAAAATATAAGTATACATAGAACACAAATAATGAGAAACAATGCTCAGTGGGAACACCAAATAAAGCTTGCACATCTTCAAAATGGGCTCTGTGCTTCATTTACTGCATACCTTACGATATTTTATAATTTATTTTGTTTGTTTATACAATTTTATAATTTTTTGCATTTAATTTAGGGATTCGGCAACGCTACACGTGTACGATATGCAAAGGGAACGATCTCTGGAAACATATGTAGTTGTTATCTACAACAATAGTTATTTTATTCGTACAGTAATTACATTTTATATTTACAATTTATTCATTAAACCAGTTTGAAACGTTTAGAAAACACATATCGATGTAATAACACCTTGATATAAATTATTATAAATTTTGTCTGTGAATAAATTGCTGAATACGAATATTAATCAAGTATTATACGGAAATAAATGTATTGAATTATTCTTGTGCATTGAAGTAAATATTATGTTTAACATAAAACACAAATTCCTATAATATCATTTTTAATTAAACAGAATTATCAGTGTGTATTAATCATGAGAATAATACCTTTAAATATTTCCAAATAAATTAAATTTCTCAATGGAAATTTTATGCATATATTTTGGCAAAACGACAAAATCGACAGCAAAAATCATTTTGAAATTCACGGAAAACTTTTAAGTATTATCAGCCGTTTTCTTGGATTTTAACTAATAACGTTGTTCCTCGAATTCTACCACGCTATCTGCAACCTTCACATTATTAATGGTCTTTCGAGTTAAAAATAAAATTTATAGCTATAAGGTATATATGCCAAGAGCCACATTTCCAAGGTTAAAGTGAGTTTTATAACGCTTACATTGAATAATAGTTTTATGAATTTTTACCCTTCTCGAGGTTTGACACGTGATAACCTACTATAAGCTCTTTCTTCAACCTCTACTCACCAAAACTGAACACCATTGATTTCCTCCACAGAAACAAGAAAATTCTATTTAAAAACCTTAATTATTCTTATATTATTAAATGTAACATTGTTACCATCGACAATAGACAAATAGCTGCGTAAAACTATACTCATTAAACAATAAATTGTTAAATGATATCAAGTAGCCTTTGCTACGTAAACAGATGAACAATAAACGAAAGCACAGTACACGTAAGTTAGTAAAAACGCCAACGGGTGAGTGGAAATACTTGCTTCATCATGGAAGTCTATTAATATCTATCGGTCACGAAATTAAAGACTTATAACGCAGAAAGAATATTTAAATTTAAACAATATCAACTTATATAAACTTAGGTAAATTACTTAATTATTCCACAGAATTATATATACGTAATAAAAGACTATAAATGCGAACAATTGTAATATTAAAAAGAAAATAATAATAAAAAAACGCAATATTTTACGTACCTATGCCAATTTTACAAGCTAAATTTCTATTGTTTACTTAAAGACATATGTTGATTGATATAATATAATATAATATAAAAGTTTGAATAATAAAATATAACAAATGGCGCCTGCAAATGTTTCAAAGGAAGATAATCAACTCGTTGCTAGATTTTTATATTTAAATATTTAAAAATAATCAAGCGCAAAAGTGTTATTTTCTATTAAAAACTAACGAGAGAAAAATTTTGTCATTTCCTTGTTTTAAATTGACTTTTAGTAGACACAGAACTTAATTTTAATTAATCATATTTTATCACGCAAAACTTGTTTTGAAATGGAAATATCTCTTCTGCGTTTTTGTCATAATTTGATGTATCAAGGTTTGCATCTGATCACAGAAGGAAGTTAGGAAAGTTGATAAATTGTTTTTATTGCTTAAACCGAATAATTATTTATTAAACTTTCTTAAATTAAATCCTGCCTGATAATTCCGTCTTACTTGTAGTGTTTAGTTGGGTGAAGATATAGTTAGAGTCTCTGAAAAAATCTATATCGATAGTGTAAGAGTAATCGACTCTAGGAGTGATGTGACTGTTTCCTAACGTTCCAATGCCAAGCCTGCACCTTGAAACTTTTCCGTTTGGACAAGTTTCAAGGTTTGCATCTACTGACAGAAGAAAGTTAGGAGAATTGACAAATTGCTATCATTGTTTAAATGGAATAAACATTTATTAATCGTTCTTGAATTAAATCGTGTCTCATAAATGATATTTGTTAGATCTATTTACAATACAAGAAAATTACAACAACCGTATATTAATCTATATGAACCTGTATTTGTTTCAAGGGGTTTAACAGAAACATAAATTGAATTATGGATACTATTTAACAAGTTAATAATTTACTACAAAATAACAGAAAATAAAACGTACAATAATAATCAGTTTTTAAAAAGAAAGTTATAATAATACAGTAGAGCCTCGATTATCCGACCCAATTGGGGACTGGGGTTGGTCGGATAATTGAAAAGTCGGATAACCGAAAAATATGAAAAAATCCATTATTAGTGTAGTATATTATTATATCCCATGTAGTTAGTATATTAGTATATTAGTATATCGCTATTAACCTACTTCGCGTTGAATTTTCCTCCATGTTAAGGTTATCAATTTTTTTTTAAATAATAATCGTCGCTATTGTATCGTTAAAAATTAGAAAATTAAGCCACGTTTAAATACTGACTCCCTTTCATGGTCGAATGAGTGTTGCCAGCTAAAACACGTAAAAATAATATTAAAGTAGCCAAGACACAGCCAAATATTGTAGCGCCACATCACTAGCGGACATTTGAAATTTGCCAAGTAGGACGGTCCGTTAACCGAGGTTTCGGTTAATCGGGGGTCGGATAATCGAAGCTCTACTGTAATATGTTTCTATGTCATTAACTTTACTAAATACTTGTTCCTACTAACTTTAAGTTTAAAACAATGAAAAAATACATGTTCCCAAGTTTCCTGTACCTACGAAAAAGTTGCAGGTACAGGAAACTTGGGAACATGTATTTTTTCATTTTCCTCTAAATACCTCCCGGTGAAAGGAAGAGTTGGCGAAAGTCGTCTGTATGGAGGAGTGTGGTGTCTTAGGTGTCTTCTCCGCCGGGATCACAGTCCTTGGCATGGAGACCGATGAGCACAAGTACCAAGAATGACTTTCGTATTGCGGACGTGCCCTGAGCTTCCCCCTTTTATATCCTTGCCGTGAGAAAGCTGTCACGCGATTGACTTTTATTGACGATGACAGTGCATTTTTCACACCCAAGCTAATTGTTATTACAATCGGTGAACTCTCATCTAGTTTCAAATACTTCCGGTTTTTTCCGAAGATATTTACAATTGACATAAAATTTAGATTTTTAAGACCCCCGTAAAAATCCGCGGGCTCACATATGCATACTTGCAAAATTTCAGAAATTTTCGACAAAAAAACGGGAGTTATTAACCTGTAAACAGGGTGAACAATATTGTCTTCCACCCACACTAATATGCATACATACAGAAATAACCCCCAAATGTTTTTGCACTTCTCGACGTTTCAAGGTGTCCTGATTCCAAAAATGTAAAAATCTTTGGGGTCGTTTTTTGATCGATCGCCATACTTTCTCTCTGTTGTATATAACAGCCGGAAAAGTAAAATAGTTATTAATTTACTTATCGGTAATAACGATCGATGTTTTTCTCATTTATCAATCAACATACGTCTATAAGAAAACAATAGAGATTTAGCTTTTAATACTGGCATAGGTACGTAAAATATTGCGTTTTTTATTATTGTTTTCTCTTTCATATTACAAGCATTTGCATTTTTATTCATTTATTACTTATATACAGTTCTGTAGGATAATTAATTAGTTTTCATAAAATTATATAAGTTTCAATTGTTTAAACTTGAATATTATTTCCGTGTCATAGGTCTTTAAATTGGTGACCGATAGATATTAATAGACTCCCCGATGAAGCATGAATTTACACTTTCCCGTTGGCATTTTTTAATAACTGAAGTGTACTGCGCTTGTTTTCGTTTATTGTTTATCTGTTTACTTAGCATATGCTACTTGATGCCATTTAACAATTTATTGTTTAATGATTATAGTTTTACGCAGCTATTTGTCTATTGTCGATGGTAACAATGTTATATTTAATAATATAATAATAATTAAGTTTTTAAATAGCATTTTCTTGTTTCTGTGGATGTAATCTAATGGACAAATTAACAGAAACCTGACAGAAGATCATATACAATTCAAGAAAAAGTTCTACTTGTTGAATTTTCTAATTGTAGCTGTATTATGTGTTCAATAGGTAAATGTCTCTTCAATCCGAACAAATTTTCGGTAGACTTTCTCACAGCTCTACAGGTTATAAAACTCCTTTATTGTTTATCTACATATGCATTTTGGGCAAGTTTAATTTTTCAGCCCCTCTTCAGTTCTTAAGATATCCCACATGTTTCTTCATTCCTTTTACAGTACTTGTACTATCAGTTTACAATGTTTTCAAATTTATAATTCCCATTTTTGTTTACTTCATAATCCACTAGAATAATGACGTAAATACCGACAGGATGTTAATGTTAAATATGTTCATATTGGACAAAAAACAATGCTTAAAGCTAAAGCAAGACTGGTAACATCAGATTAGCCAGCCTTACTACCTTATTGTTGTAATGAACCAATTCGGGTTCTTACTAAACACGAATTCTAATATTGCTTTCATGCAAGATTCGATTTTTAAGGAAGGATACAAATTCTCATAATCCAATACCGTTCTTATAGGTTGATGCCCGCTTTACATCTCCTCACAATCAAATAATCCGTACCGTTATAAGCTGGCAGCGCTCCGAGCCCTAATTATCAGGGATTTTGTGACAGAGTTATGGACAGAGCAAGAGAGATCAATAGAATTGTACAAGTAGCTGAAGCCCTAAGATACAAAAAAGGTACAATAACAGGAATGATTAGAAGATACGAGATTGGCACTGCAACGGCTTCTGAATTATAGCAATGTGAGTGAACAACGTTAAATAGACAAATCAGCCATGAAGCTATGTTTAAGTGTCAAAAACGAATCTTATTATAGAATCAAAATTTCGTTAAATGAAGTAATTGCTATGTATCACTGCGCTAACAAAGGGTTAACCGCAGCGGGACTATGACGTCATCGGGTGGGCTAGCGCTCGTTTCCTAGCGTTTTGCTGTAGTTTGCGGCTTCTCTAACAACAACAATTCGCCTACGCCGCTTCTGTGTGAAAAGGAGCACAGTGGTGTCATTCTGATGGGGCAACGAAGAGGTATCCACCATACGGTCACACATGCTTACAGCGTCGTACCTAAGGAATTATAATGTCGAAAAAGGAGGCTTTGTGCCATTTAACACTGCGATATTAATATTGGTTTGATAATTTATTATACAATTTTATTGTCAACGGGATCGATCTTAGTCCATATGACACCTTTAACAAGAAGCGGTACTGAAATCTGTCACTCATGCTCATGAATAATTTGTCATTCTTTAGTCACGATAAATTTAATTAATTAATTTGTTTGTTTTTTACTCTATCTGGAAACAGAACTACAAGGAATGACACAAGAGTGGTTTTAAGCACACTTATACATTATTTTATCTCGTCTCATCCAAAGCAATTTATATAAGCCATTGTTAGGTATTTGATACTGTATGGAAAAAAGATATAATATTGAATTATTCAAACACTCTATAAAAATACAGTAATTTTGATACAAGAAACAAAATTAATAATTCATATAATTCATTTGAAAATGTAATAATTGTTTCGATATTATTATTATAGTAACAATAAAGGCAATTCTTGCATTTTTGAATTATTTAGGAATGTTTATTTTAGAATGCCATAGGATGTTAGATTTCCAATGATTTCGTACAGTAGATAAGTGCCCGGGAGCACGCTTTCATCTGACGTGGAATCCGAAAATTAAAATTCAAGAATTGTTAATATTGTTACGTAATTGATAAAACGTTTATTATTACAGAATTGCTAAATATTTAGCAACAGATAGGCTATACCACAAATGCCATGTTCCATCTGATCCAGTTTGGAGTACAATAAATTTGTCCTCGGCGCCAGTTAGGTATTAATTAATCCATCAATCGGCTAGAAATTTAGACCCAGAAACAGGTAAACAAACAACATGGATGAAGACGTAAGAAAAAGGACGGACTATATGTATAAACGGCGTAAATGTGTTTGAAAAGGAGTGGTGGAAAGATCGGAAAACATTGAATTCTTTCATCCATAACCCAGCCCAGGCTCTACTGTATTATAGGCAAACAAGAAGTGAAAGCAAGAATTTCATTATTTTAAGTAAGGGTGATTAATCGTTAACCTATTCAAAACTATCTGTTTTATTTAAAGTTTAAACTTTAAATATATAAAACAGATAAAAATTTAATATTCAAACGTTAAAACCCTTAAATTGCAATACAAAAATATGAAAATTCACCATTTTCAGAGATCTTAAATGTTACCTCCAGCTCTGAAAATTCTTTGACTTTCAATGAAAGATGCTGGGGGGACTTGGATATTTCATAGCTATTTTGCTCAAATTAGAAAAAAAATTCTTTTGAACTTCTTCATTACAAAAATGGGTCGCTATGTCTTTGTATGAGGTAAATGTAAATATTTTTCTAATTCTTGATCGAAACGTTTTGTGATAAGCAGAGGGTCAGGGAATAAATATAAGTTAACTATACAAAAGGGCCACTCTAATAGCTCTAACGGCTATTCTGAGAGAGAGAGAGAGAGAGAGCGAGCTCACAAAGCTCTAAAATACAAATACCACCATGAGGATATGACTAATATACGTTCGTTGAATGGTCCGTATGAATCATAGTCGGCGCAGGAACTGTTGAATGGCGATGGAAGTTCGAAGTTGTTGTCTGTCGTATGGCGATGTCCTTTCGGTCGCACTGTCCAGTGTATGGAGACAAGATGCACACATTAATAAGTATAACTTTCTTTGGTCGCCCGCAGCTTCAGGGGACTCGAGCTTTTATACGTTCTTCGTGAGAAAGAAGTCGGGTGACCGACTTAAGTTGACACTAACGGTGCATTCTGATCGACTAAGTGTCAACTTTTCCACCTAATTATGAAAACAATCGGTGACCTCCGATATACTTCTCACCAAGAATGTTTTTTTCATTGGAGTTGTTTACAAAGATTTTTTTTCCACATCGGCGTAAAAATCGCGGATTTCACAGTTTGTTTGTTTGTTTCGTTTTTTCTTCCTTTTTAAAGACATACTCTTATTCATTCTTTCGTTTACCAGAAGCTAATTCATCAAATAAATTAGAAAAACTCAGAGATTATCTTCCATCTTGATTGTCTCCATAAGTAGAAGCTTCAGAATTTAATTTTCTTGACATTTTGAATTATCAACATCATCTAATCCACAGGTTCTCAAACTTATTTCGACCACCGCCCACTTTGAGATTAAAGAAAAAATCTATTGCTCCCATATTTTTTAACTTACGTTTTTACATTACCATCTGCTGAATATCTTACAAACAGTTATTGCAAATATAATGTTTAAACATGCATTATTATATGAATAGGATATGTAAGATAGCAGAAATTCTTATATTAGAAATAGTCTTTAATAATAACGTTTCGCGAATTATGCAACAATTGTTGTTTTTAGCTACCTGAGAAAGTCTCCCGTTACATTTTCTCGAAAGCAACATGACGCTTTCTCGTGAACTATTAACCTCTGCACGGCCGAAATCGCTCGTGAATATCATCAGAGACGGCCGAAAAGAGTCAGTCGCTGCCTTAGTCCTCGGAGAGGAAAGAAGTCGTCCTCCCTTCAATTATCATCCATTAAGGAATCCGAATTAATCGCCATAGGATAAACTTGTCTGTGTGTGTGTGTGTGTGTGTGTGAATCGCCTGGATAACGAATCAGAAACCTTAAACCCATCGGAAGCTGTTATAATCCGAACAAGATCCGAACAAGACCCGAATCTATTAACAAAGGTATTTATCATCCCGCGAAGTGTATGTGCACTCTCTCTCTCCGCGAAAATTCTTCATCCAATAGATTTGTAAATAAACCCTTGTTAATTAAGTGTATCTGAGTCACTTCCAATGTTGTCTCTCGAATCGACATTAAGAATCCGTCTGACCACATACGGAACCGCTCGCGCGACGGCGTGACGTAATCGCCGTCTCGGTTTCCGTGTTTCGAGAAACACGGTGGTGTCACTCCTGACAGGGTACCAAAGAGGTGCCGACCCGAAAGGTCACAGTGGTGTCAGAGCGCGGGATTTTAAGATAGTGGGAATTTAAGATAGTAACGGAGACTAGCTAGGAAAATGGAAGGGAAAGAAGGTCGCGCGCCGCGTGGAGAGACAGCAGGAAGTGCTGCGGTAGGCGGACTTGGGGGCATGATTCCTCTCATACCTTCTTTTGCCGGAGATCCAGATGGCCTTAAGGTCACGGATTTTTTTGAGTCCTTAGATGAGATTGGTAAATTGACAAATTGGACCAAGGCGCAATGTTTAGGAGTAGCTAAATTGCGATTAACGGGGATAGCCCGAGATTTTGCGTGGAAGGATGCCACGATGAAAGATGTAACAACTTATGACGAGTTCAAAAAGCTTATGATAAAAAGATTTGAAAAGGAACCTATCTCTTTACAATTACAGAAGTTTCACGCTTGCGTGCAAGCGCCGGGAGAGGACGTGCAGACTTACGCTGTCCGATTGCAAACCTTAGTCGTAGAAATTATTAAAGAGCAACCTAGTGATAATGCACAGGAACGGTAAGTCGTAAAACGGTGCCAACAAAAGGAAAGAGACAAATATATAGAATGTGACCCATATCCTATTTCTGAGATCAAAGAATGTTTCAACGATAAGAAATAAAACTCATATTTAATCACTTAGCCTTCTACTGTTCCGTAAAAATTTTTAGCGCCCACTTTGAGAAAGGACGATCTAATCTATCGATTGTCCATTTTTTTAATATTTTCTCTACCATCTTTTTGTTTTGAAATTTAATTTCGAATCTCGGATCTAATAAGGCTGACAACCATAAAGTCTTGTTTTCTATATATGCTGAAAATTTATATTTTTTGAATTTTCTAGTTCTATTAACACTAAAAGTTTTTTTTTATAAAACTCTTTTTGCCCTGTGGACACTAAGAGGTCATCTTTTTGCAAGCCCATTATGGGTTCGGCCGGCCCACAATGGGGCTGCCGGGTGGTGAGGGACGGGTCCCGCCCGACATATCCGAACGAACCCCCCCGAAAAATTCCTGGGGATTTTTCGACACGTTCGGGTTCGAGCCCAGGTCTCCCAGAGCAGTGGGCTGCCACCTTTAGTGGGCGGAACTACTAAAGGAACTACTGCTCTTTACTTTTCATAATAAGAATAATTTTAGAGTCCTATTGTGTAAATTATTGAAGATGAGATGGTTTCTTAGTTGCTGGCTTCCCACAGTAATTTCTTTGAATGGTTTTAAAAGTAGAACAATTTTCTCAACGAGAGACCACTGATATGTACTCATTGTAGGAATCTTATTATCTATAGCATATGTGACAAGGGCTTTTTGATGTTCCAAGTTTCGTTGCAACATGTAGTATGTAGAATTTCATCGAGTAGGAACATCTTGAGTTAATTTGTGTTTCTGCAAATATAACTTGTCTCGCAGATCTTCCAATTTGTTTACAGCTACAGCAGAATGATTAAAATATGTGACAATATTCTTATGAAGTGTGATTATAGTTTTCACATCTTGTTGAGAAAATATGCATTCGTTTAGTGTCAGCTGAAGTGTATGTGTAAAGCATGATAATACCTTTAAGCTGCAATTCCTGATTCCAGCTACCATATTTGCTCCAGAATTTCTTAGTACTAAGAATATCTTATAACTTTTGTCAACTTACACCGTTCAAGAACTTAAAATTAAATGACTTTTTTAATAAACTTTTTATCATTTTAATTTAATACATGAATCTGTAAAAGNATAGATAAACATGCATTATTAAATGGATAGGATAGATAGGGTGTGACCCATATCCTATTTCTGAGAACAAAGAATGTTTCAATGAAAATAAATAAAACTCATATTTAATCACTTAGCCTTCTACTGCCCCCGTAAAAATCTTCAGAGCCCACCTTGAGAAAGGACGATCTAATCTATCGATTGCCCATTTTTTTGTTACCTCTACCATCTTTTTTGTTTTGAAATTTAATTTTGAATCTTGGATCTAATAAGGCTAACAATCATAAAGTCTTGTTTTCTATATATGCTGAAAATTTATATTTTTTGAATTTTCTGGTTCTTCTATTAACACTAAAGGATCATTTTTTTTTTAAACTTTTTTCGCCCTATGGGCACTAAGAGGTCTTCTTTTTGCAAGTCCGTTATGGGTTCGGCCAGGCCCACAATGGGGCTGCCGGGTGGTGAAAGATGGGGCCCGACATATCCGAACGGACCGCCCCCCGAAAAATTCCTGGGGTGTTTTCGATCCGTTCAGATTCGAGCCCTGGTCTCCCAGAGCAGTGGGCTGCCACCTTGACCGCTCGGCATCCGGCCGCCCACTAAGGGAACTACTGCTCTTTACTTTTGATAATAAGAATAATTTCAGAGTCTCTATTGTGTAAATTATTGAAGATGAAGTGGTTTCTTGATTTCTGGCTTCCCACAGTAATTTCTTTGAATGGTTTTAAAAGTAGAACAATTTTCTCAATGAGAGACCACTGATATGTACTCATCGTAGGAATCTCATTATCTATAGCATATGTGACAAGGGCTTTTTGCTGTTCCAAGTTTCGTTGCAACATGTAGAATTCCAGCGAGTAGGAACATCTTGAATTAATTTGTGTTTCTGCAAATATAACTTGTCTATCAGATCTTCCAATTTGTTTACAGCTACAGCAGAATGATTAATATGTGTGACAATATTTCTATTAAGTGTCATTATAGTTTTCACATCTTGTTGAGAAAATATGCATTCGTTTAGTGTCAGCTGAAATGTATGTGTAAAGCATGATAATACCTCTAAGTTGCAATTCCTGATTCCAGCTACCATATTTGCTCCAGAATTTCTTAGTACTAAGAATATCTTATGACTTTTGTCAACTTATACCGTTCAAGAACTTAAAATTAAATTATTATTGTAATAAACTTTTTATCATTATAATTTAATACACGAATATGAAAAAGAAAAAAATAACTTCATATTTAAAATTATTTTTATAACAAATTGTTATAAATTTATTTTTATGGTATGAAATTTTATATTTTTATTAAGACGATATAATTTCATACGATAATAATTATAATATAATTAACTATTAACACAATAAATTATTAACCAACTTCCAACTCTTCGGCAAGTTCTACTTTGTTATAACCACACATTAAATAATATGCTCATATGCTCATTCAATAAGTCATAGAGGTGTGTAGGAAATCTGGGGCCGTATTCTGGTCACTGTCTCTGGTCTCTCGTCTCTCGCAAGCCGGTCGCTGACCAGAATATAGCCCCTGGTATTCCGACTAGGCAACCAAATCACTGCGTTGAAAAATTTATAAAAATTCATAAGAAATGGCTGCTTTTTAAAAAAATAAAACAAGAGATTTGGAAGCACAGAAAAATAGAGAGCATTTGTTTACAGAAGAGCTAGACAAACTTTTTGATATTGTCCATTTACAGGCCATGAACTCAATCAAAATTGCGGAAGACAGTGAGTTTCTCTTTGATCAAAGAGGTGAGCGTAAGACATCGATTGACAAGAAGCTGGAAAAGACTAATGAACGTTCTGTAAAACGAAAACAAAGAGCTGACGAATTAAGAGAAAATACCGCTAAAAGTAATGCTTCAATTTCGGTAGTGTTAAGTCAAGAACTAGAACTCGATTTCAGCTTCAGTAGCACTTCTACTGCCGATAGCACTTTGAAAAATAAGCGAGATGATTATTTAGTGGTTGTTTTACCATCAAAGACTCTTTCTTGCAATTATCTCTCGAGACTTGGGGTGACAATGTTGATTACCTACAAGACAAAGTTGCGTAAGAAATTTGGGCGTGGTTAACGACACTGATAAGAGGGGTGTAAAACTATTTGAAGATTGCAATACGATACTCACTAAGAACGAGGAAGAAAAAGAATTCTAACTTTCTGTCGTTGAAAAGAACAGAAAGATCGTTTCTACTGAAACATCCAAAAATTGCTAATGAACTTAGTTTTTGGTTGAGCAAAAAAAACTGTAATTAATATTATTTTAAGTATTGTTTTGTTTATAACATTTTGTGTGTGTTCTAATACTATATTTGAATAAAAAGAAACTTACTTTTAATACATAGTATACGTTTTTTACTTAATATCCTAACTAGTTCTTTTTCAGGATATTTTTCATAAAATTCAGATATTTCAAAGTCGATGAGCATTTCCTTGTATATAAGATAAGGGGCTGAAATTTTAAACACATAATAGGCATAGGTAAAAATCAACGGGGTGGCGAGACTTCGATTTGAAATTTTTTTGTTTTTTTTTTGCTATTTAAATATGGACCACCCTACTGTACAGTATATAAATTAGGTACTGTAAGTCTAATACAGTACTGTAATTTTATACATTTCTTGTAAAAAAAAACATTTCGTATTCAACGGCCATAAAAATTATTCCTATTAATGATGTCTCCGAAGTTCAACGAATTTTTCGCAGAAAAATAACTTATCAGAAAACGCGCCCGCCTTTTCGTGCGCTGCTCCGCGACGAAAACAAGCTTAAGCAATGGCGTCGTCGAACAGTGCACACTCGGTAAGTAATCCTACAATTTTTTGTTTATAGCATAGATTATACAGATTGTTCCCAAAATATTGTGTGTTTTGGATATGTTCAGTCAATTTAGTGTAGAATCGATTAATTTTATGGAAGAAAACCTTTCAAACAGCCGTAGTCCGTAAACTGCACACGTGCCAAGCTGTGATTGGCTCATGTATTTAAGGATTCCTACAAAGTGAAACTCTTATAAATTGGAACCTATCTACCGCGTTATAGGGCCGACTGTACATCGATGTACATCGATAATTCCATTTAATTCTGATCACTTTAGGTCATAATTCACTAGAATAATCACGTTGATACTAATATGATGTTAAATTAATGTTTAATACGTTCTTATTGGACGAAAAACGACGTTTGTTTAATGAATTAAATTCAAACTATTTATTATAAACATTTCTGGAATAACTTTATTCAGAATACTCTTTTATTGCGTGATATGCAACAACTAAATTTACATAAATTCGAAAAAAACTTTGAACAAAAGCATCCTTACAGAGACAATAGAAATTCAGTATTGAATAAACCAAAAAACAAAGGTTGCTCATTTTTTATCGTTAAATATAACGAAACGTTTTTCTAGATTACAGAAGCGTGTTTAAACATCTGTCATACTTTAAAGCATCAAAGCAACTACGAGAACTGTTTGTTTTCGTTACTATATACCCATTCACAATAATTAAATATACCAAAAAATTACATTAGCGTACATTTATTAATAGTAACATCTACATGCACCCACAGAATATAGATGCTCTGCTTTCTTCACATCCTCTTGTAAATAACGAAGTTATCGAGATTAGTATAGGAATAACTAATAATGCGTGAAATGTTGTTTGCAGTACAATTACGAAAATGATTTTAACGAAACTAGTGTATACAAATATATTATAATAGTTGATGATTAACAATACTAATCCAGTAGATATTGCCCCTTGAATTAACGGAAAACCTACGTAACGTAAACTATCCTTTAACTTTTCTTCAGTCGTTACTTGTGGTGAAGTAATGAAACAATAGCATATGTGAGTGGGATAATTAACGGAAAACCCGATGCAGAGAATCAGGCACATTAAAGACACGATGTCCAGATTGATTTCCCATAAAGACATAAAGCCGATCGTCTGTGCGGTGATGGACCCGACACAGATAGCGACAATAAGAGCGCAATGCAAATTAGGTATTAATAAAACGAAAATGCCGAAGATTAACAAAGAAGTTATCCAGAACAATTGGAACGTTATCTGTCTGATAACGATTCCTTGCTCTGCCATAGGTGATATCATTGTATGGATTACAACGTTAAATGGCGCTTCTTCGGCTATTTTCGATAAATCGTTTACTATTTTGAATTCGGTTACTCTATCCGAAACATCTTTCGCTAAGAATAAAAAGCGACTGGCCACAATATCAGTGTAATTGTGATTATAAATGATGTCATTGTTAAACTGCTTGGCTCCTATGATTTTCAAGAAGACGTTTCTAAGTGCATCCATAAAATCCTGCTTCTGAGTGAGATCGTAACCTCTCAAGGAATACTTCGAAATAGAATGATTTTGAAATATTTTATAGTATTTTAACCAAGAAAATTCGTACTCCTGTCCGGCTATATTTTCAATAGTGTGAAATTTATGCATAAAATTTTCAACTGACTCTTGAACTCGTGGATTAGAATAATCTAACGTTTCGTTAATTACGACGTGCACCGTGAAAGGGTATTGGGTAAAATATTTGTAGAAAACGTGAAATCCCCGTGTAATTTCAGATGTTTCTGAATTCAATTTATAAACATTCAGTCCTTCCTGTAAGGACATAACACCCCATATACCTATTGACAATAATATAAAATACAATAAAATAATAAATACCCGTGATACAGAATGAAAAATAAAAGCTGAAAATGTATATCTGAAGAACTTCGTAAAACAGTCTTCATTTTCTTGTTTGTAATAGTCACTTTGTCTAATAGTTTCTGTAAAATTAAAATATTATATTAAGTTGAATTAAATCGATCTGGATGAAATTTTATAATAATTAAGAACCATAAATGTTAACGCGTGAAATATGACAATCATTACAAACATTCGTATATTCATGTCTTTAAAATCATAATTATAGCATTGAAATGAAATTAAAGAATTCAAAATATTGTAAATGAATTTAGAATAATGAGTTAAATTTTACGCACAAGTTATATGAAACATTAAGCAGAAATATTGTATGAATCTGTACCCATTCTGCACCATAACAAAAGCCTATTTGGCAGTTGACTATTACAGGAACCCACAAACTACAGGGGAATGGAAACATATTAATGACAATTAAAAAAATATTAGCAGCAGCGTACTCAAAGTATGGATTCCATGTCAGTGCAAATGGTAATAATAATACCAACTCTCACTTGTTGGTTCTATTCTAATTGCCATTAAGATTATAGAGCTAAATTATAATTATTTGCAAAAATAAATAATTATAATTTAATAGTAAATTGTATATAGTTTGACTAGATGTTTTAGTAAGTATTTGTCTATCTAGTGTGAGATTTTCCTGCTTAATTTGGATCTTTTCACAGTGTTGACCACAAGCATATTGTAGATTACTTGTTACCAGACGTTCAATTGTTCGTTTTGTATTTCGCCACGTAAGAAGCATTTAATAAGTATATTTTCTACGTTCCTAATAAGGAAAATATTTAACAGTATACCAGGCATAGCCAAAACACGGCCCACGTAATTAAGCCAATATACTTAAGCCTAAATTATTAAGTAATTTATTTGAATACTAATATTTTTATCCTTATTATTACCTTGTCACATTCAGTTATTATAACCATTACTAACATATTCATAGGTTTTTTGTCAACTCCAGTACGTAGACTATGTGCCTGTGTCATAAGTAAAAGTGAAACACTTAATACATAATATTTAAATTTACTATTGCTGTAATTTCCAATCTACAACAAACTTCTTAGTAAATAAAGTGAGTTAACCAGAGTCTCTATAATGCTTTAAGTATAATGCCCTGTCAATAAAGAGAAGAGTGTGTAGCACTACACTATTATTAGAAAATATATGGACAAAATTACTAATACAAGTTAATAAATCTAAAATTTTTACCAAAAGTTGGTTTAAATGTGAAAGGATGAAGACCCTTCTCTTCTCTGTATCCACTTAATGCTAAACATCCGCCGAAGAAAAACAACTGAAAGAAATAACTGAAGAAGATGCACGTTGCGGCATACAAACAGAATATTCTTACACCCGGAAATGGTGACGTCATAGCAATGCAATAGGAGATGAAATTCGTTAGAGACGTTATGGTGATGGACACTGCTGAGTTGCGATACGTCTGTTCCATTCGCTTTTCTACGCTGTCACCGCAATCTGTTGCCTTCCAGCAAGCCAATACGACAAACGAGTCGTCCACTTCCGTAGCTTTAATATATCAAAACTATAAATTACTAAAGCAAAATGTATCGGTATTTGAAAGTATTTTATGGTTTATCTTACCAAGAATAATGAAAGGAAGACTGACGTTCCACTGAAGATTTTCTACTCCACAGGTAGATAATAAACCAAACGTCGTGGCAACAGCCAGACTGGCGGATACGACACTAGCTACGCCTAACCAGGGTTTGGACTTCACCCAATTGTTAGTCATGTTCGTCGACACGCAGAAAATGGCCACTGCGAGTGCAGCCACGCTTATCAAAGACACTAATTTCTGTGAAATGCGTTTTAGTTGAAAATCAGTAGAAAAGAATGGTTCTGGAAATGTTTTAATATGCTCGAAAGTATAATCTCTTAACTTGTTGTAAACTGCCTTTGTCCATTCTTCATTCCACTTTTTCTTATTTGCATTCGACTCATCTAGTTCATACAATAAACGAACGGCTTTTGCTTCCTTTATGTATCCTTTGTCGTCTGTCTTCACCCCTCCTAAATTCAGACAAAGGATTTTGTACGCGTATGTTACAGAATTTATATTAACGGGATACTTCATCTTTAATATTTTATGGATAACATTTTCGGAGTCGTTTAGCAGATCAATAAGAGTATTTTCTAAACACTTGCCATCTACAATCTGGCAGACGTCAGAGTAACCAATAATCTTTCCATCTACAGAAGCTGTGGTATTTTTTACAACCTTGTCTACAATTTGTATTTCGTCTAAAAATTCTTTGCGTAAAATGTTGCTTTCTCTGTCATTTACTATGTAGATCATTGGAAAAAGCGGTCGTTTAGTAAGTCGTAAAAAATCGAAACTATCCGAATTGGTATGGAATGTCTTATGTATAAACTGTTTGGCATCAAAAACTTTACCTCTGTCTGCACCAAAGAGAGAATCGGTGTCGTCGTTGGTTTGAATTCCAATCAGCCCAATTGATAATAAAGCAGAGAGAATAACAGGAGCAATGACAAAATAAAGGGGATATCGACTAATTATTACACCAAGTCGACCAATTTTACTAGACACGGTGTTTGTCAGACACGAACATTTTGTTTTCTTAGAAGTGTCGATTCTTCTTACCTAAAAAATTTAAATATAAATTACCTTATCATGCGCATTTGAATGCTTTGTTTAGTGAAGTGATTTTTACCTGTTTATTCATTGCTATCTTGAATTAAGAATCCTGAATTGTCCTAATAATATTCAGCGTAAGGTTTACGACGATCGATTATATCAGATTGAATGAAGAATCTCTCACATTTAAAAATATTTTCCTCAAGTATTAAAAATTCTGAATAGAAAACCAGTCCATTATAAACTGTAATTGCGCTGTGTGACGTCATATCGTCTCTCAGTTTAACATGTAATTGGTTGACGTTATCCAATTGAAGGTATTCTGTTAAATAGTTTTAGTTATTTTTTCTGTCATAAACGTTTTCACCGAGTGTTGCACATTTATATTAAAATAAAATTTACTAAAATATTATTTGATATAATATATGTAAAATAATATGAATGCATAAAAAACCCTTTAATTGAGGAGCCTCAAAGTTATGTTTTTCAATAAACATGCATACAAAATAATGTTCAAAGAACGGCTACTTTTTATTTTTCTTACCGTCCGCCTTATAGAGGTTTGACTGTATTTCATGCGATTAACAAGAAACAAACGATGGTTTTAATTCTTTAAAAAGCAAAACTTATTTCCTGAATGATTACTTTATACTTTGATGTGAGAAAAATACAGGATTTCTTCCTGCGTGAAACATTTATTTGCATTTACATTTGTAAAAATTAAAGAAAACGTATTTTCGTTTGTGCTGTCCTTTTTAATATCTTAAAAAAATTATAGTATTAAAAATAATGTTGAAAATTTAATTTTTTTCTTAAATATGTTTAAAAAACATAATGATACCACTTTCCGAATTTCCGCATTCGATCCAACCTGAACAATCTGGTCGAACCCGTGACGGGTGTGGTTATAAAGATTATTTTAGTTCCTGCAACATACGAAGCTAAACGTTTCCTTATCAGGTATATTTAAATTACAATCGTACAGGTCATTATTAGAAGCCGTACAGATCTTGTACGGGGCCGGAGGTAGCTTTTCTCTGTGTTTTCACCGTATGACGTAGGAAAGTAAGTATTTTTAACTTAGAAACTGCTAAGAACAGTATATAGGCTCATAAGTGCCACGAGATTTTGTATTCTAATAGTTTGCTCGTTTGTTCGCGTTTTGCCAGGACAGTCTGCTTAAAGAAATTTTCCACATTTTATCTATGTCTATAACACCCAAATATGGTCTGTTTACCATTAACAGGCCTCTCGAAGTGACTTCTCTCGAGACTTCGCGAATAACACTGAATGGCGAACCAAAATACTTCACTTCGGAGGTTACGTGACAAAGACATATGAACAAAGACAAATGACCATATATTTTTTTTTTATTTAGCTGGAAAAATTTAATTTTTTCAGGTAATTAAAAATTACCTGGAAAAAAACCACACATTTTCAATGTTACGCCTAAAAATTTATGCTACTCGTTGCTAGTTTTTTTTTTTTTGTAAGCTTTAATGAATTCGTGGTTTAAACTTATTTGTAGATCCCTAATATATTTCAAACCTCGTATAACACGGTGCTTTTATAGCACGGGTTCACTCTAACACGGTTCGGGAATTGGGTAAAACTCTCGTACAACATGGAATGTAATAAAGTGTTCGTTCTTTTATACCTCCACGTAACTTCTCGCGAGCATTCTAATTGTTTTTGTGGCTACTTTCATAAATATTCTTTTAACAAATAATCCATTTAATAGTTAAATTTTACAATTGGGACTCTTCTTTTGCCTCTATAAGCTGATTTTAGAATTATAGATTCCTCCATCACGATACTATCGATAGTGCGGGCGCCGCCATCTTTCTTTCTTTCACAGTCGTTCCTAAATGCCTACAAACAGCAGCGCACTCCCATTGCAGTGGACTGCTATTAACGAAAGCACCCAGAAACTGTTACCAGTTGATGGTGCTCGTGCTGAGATCATCCGTCATACAGGATGAATAATTCTCTGGTAAAATATTTACTTAAATAATAATGTGAGCCAGCAGATTTTTACGGGACTTTTAAAAATCCAAATTTTATATCAATTGTAAATATCTTCGGAAAAAAACCCGAAGAATTTGAAACTAGACCGGAGTTCACCGATTGTAATAACAATTAGCTGGGAAAGTTTACACTTAGGTTTGAAAAAATGCACTGTCATCGTCAATAAAAGTCAATCACGTGGCAGCTTTCTGGCGACAAGGATATAAAAGGGCATTACAACGGAAGTTCAGCGTGAGTCCGCACACGGAAGTCATTCCTGGTACTTGTGCTCATCGGTCTCCATGCCAAGGACGGTGATCCCGTCGGAGAAGACACCACACCCTTCAATACAGACGACGTTCGCCAATTCTCCCTTTAACCGAGAGGTATTTAGGGTCTTTAGAGTCTTTAGATTTTGTCAAAGTGCTCTCTCTCGAACTAGAAATTAGGTCAGTGACATAGTTACGAAATTCGTCGCCATATTCTGTAAATATTTTAATATAACCGCATTTAATTTTAGTATTAATTTTACCTCCTGTAACTTAGATTTAGTTATTCAATAAATGCTTTCTTACTTTGTTAAACCTGTCTATCATTGCTTCAAGGACGCCTGCCGACTTACTCACCTCCCTCGCCACTCGATAAAAAACTATCCTACGACCTCGAGATCGGGTTTTACAAACCAGTCGCAGAATAAGTGGTCATTTGGGAATTAACCCCTGACCTACTGCTAATCTCACAATAATTAAGTATTTTACCTAAGAAAAAAATGAGTAATAAATCCGATTTAAAAAGGGATTTAACAGCATGTTTTTTTTTAATTTTTAGAACCCAACCCCCTTTTCGCATTAGTTCTTTGTTTCGTATAACACGGATTTGCATAACACGGCAATTTTTTGGAACGTAACTCCCGTGTTATACGGGCTTTACCTGTAATTATCGAAAAATTAATCACGTAATTAAATAAGAGTTTTATGTAAATTTAATTAAATTATTTTACGAAAGCAATTTCACAAGATTGTAATTGCGACGATTCTTAAAATTTTAATATTAATTAATTTAACTCAAAATTATTAAAATATTGCAGCGATCATCCACAAAAACGAACGAATCGTTATCTTTAAACATAATCTACAATAATAGTTGTTTCATTCGTACAGTAATTATATTTTATATTTAGAATTTATTCATTAAACCTGTTTGAAACGTCTAGAATACACATATCGATCTAATAACACTTTGATATGAATTATTATAAATTTTTTCTGTGAATAAATTGATGAATACAAATATTAATCAAGCATTATACGAAAATAAATGTATTTAATTGTTCTCGTGCATTGGAGTAAATATTACGGTTGATATAAAACACGCATTCTTATTAACATCGTTCATAATGAAACAGAACTCTTAACCTTTATTAATCACGAAAATAATGCCTTTAAAAATTTCCAAATAAATTTAATTTCTCAGTGGAAATTTTATTCATATTTTTTGGCAAAACGACAATGTCGTCAGCAAAAATCATTTTGAAATTCACGGAAAACTTTCACGTATTATCAGCCGTTGTCTCGAATTTTAACTAATAACGTTGTTCCACGAATTCTATCACGCTATCTGCAACTTTCACATTATTAATGGTCTATCGAGTTAAAAATAATATCTACAGGTAAAAGTTTTTTTTTAATTGTTTTTTTTTTCGTAGAGCATGCAAACAGATAATAAAAAAATCTAATTATTTAAAATTTTTATTTTTACTCAAAAATATCAGAATATTTCTGCAGAAAATGCAAAGAGCATTAGAATTATTAATTAACTTTCCCGGAAATATTTACAACTTGGTTTGCCTTTTTCTATTAACGGTCTTTTATTTAAAAATTTTTAATATTCTCAAGTATTATAAAATGGCAAAAGTCACATTTTCGAGGTTAAAATGACTTTTATAATAAACTTTAAACGCTAATAACAAATAAGTTTACGAATTTTTACCCTTTTTGAGGTGACTTCTTAATATACGCTTTTCCTTCAACCTGTACCCACCAAAACTTAATACCGTTGATTTCCTTAATATAAAAACCATTCCGAAAAATTTCACGTTTATGAATAAAGGCAGTCGGTTTCCTACAAAGAAAGAGAAAGTGTTAGTCTTGGAACACAAAAAATTAAATAAATTGTGATCCTTTTTTGGACAGTTTTGTCTTTAATTTTATTAAGAACCATTATTTATTTTTCAGTTGAAAATCAGATGATAAGACTCAAAGAACAGTTTCAGCTATTTTATAGTTCAGATAATTGCTGATAATATGTAGAACTTTATCTTGAATAGTGTATGATCTTCTGTCAGGTTTCTGTTAATTTGTCCATTAGACTACATTTACAGAAACAAGAAAATACTATTTAAAAACTTTGTAAACAACTCCGAGGAAAAACCCACTCTTGGTGAGAAGTATATCGGAGGTCACCGATTGTTTCACATTAAGGTGGGAAAGTTGACACTTAATTGATCGGAATGCTCCGTAAGTGTCAACAGAAGTCGATCACGTGACTCATTTCCCACGAATAACGTATAAAGGCTCGAGTCCCCGGAAGCTCCGAGCGATCCCTCGGAAGTTATACTTGGTAGATGTGCCATATTTGTTTTCATACTCCGGACCGAAAGGACATACGACCAACCACAGCCATTTGAACTTCCATCGCCATTAACGAACCTATTCAACGAACACATATTAGACATATCCGCATAGAGGTATTTGTACTTTTAGAACTTTGTGAACTCTCTCTCAGACTATTAGAGGTTTTGTATAGTGAAGTTATTTAATCGCATTTAACCTATGTATCCTAGCTTAGTTATATAAATAAATGCTTGTTCAGTTTTTAAACCTGTCTCCTGTCTCTGAAGGACATCTGCCGACTTACCGACGCACTCCCCGCTCAATTTTTTGCCCTCCTAGCCATCCGACAAGCCGAGAACGGGTTTTACCAACCTGTCGCAGAGTAAGTGGTCATTTAGGATGAGCCCAGTGGCCCACTGCTAATCGCACATACCTAAGCCAGTGTTACAAGCTAAATTTCTATTGTTTTCTTAAAGAAACATGTTGATTGATAAACGGGAAAAATACCGATCGTTATTACTGATAAGTAAATTAATTAATAACTATTTTACTTTTCCGGCTGTTATATACAACAGAGAGAAA